AATCTTCTGTAAACATAGCCATCATCGAGGTATATATAGGCAATTTAATTTTGTTGGTCAAATCTTTTCGACTTTGTCTACTTGCCAACAGAGGAGCGGGTTCGTTGTCGGCTTTATGTTTTTATTAGTGAATTTTTTTTTGTTAAAAACTTTGAAGGCCTAATATGAACGTATAAAACAAATAGCTCGGTAGACGTCATGACTGTATATTTGTTCGAATGTTTGAGCCGCGTCGACTTCTATCTATTCACATAAAAGGATCAGGCTCAAATTCAAGTTCATTTCTTGACACATGCAACATCCTCAGACGTCACGTGTGTGTATACACCACGCTCATTGGGGACCATGCGAGTATATGCTTTTGAATGTATTTTGCATGACATGTAGGTATGGTAATCATACATATGCAGTGGGTATGCATGATATATATGCATGTGTATATGCACATGTACATGAATACTCGCATGGTTGCATATTTACATGTGTACTCTCACACTTGTATGCATAGTTGTGCATTTACATATATATTTGCATCTTAGTCATTTATGTACAATACATTCATATGTTATTTATACATTTTCATGTTAGTATGATGCACTACTACAGCATGATGCATCTTGCAATATTGGCTGTCATTCTTGAATGAAACATTCTACCTATTGTACTGCATGCGGGAGGACATTTTAAAGTGTTTGACACTAATTAGCTGTGCGAATGATTGATATTTGAGTGTGCATAATATTTAATTTAAATGCCTGTAGATGTCTCCTGTTTGCTTGTACGAGCGTTGCGGATTCGGTGGTGTTACTTAGCGCTACGCTGGGTTTCAGTTGTCGTGCTTCAGCAATGTGGTTTTGCTTATTTTGTCTTATGCATGATGTCGTTTTCTTCAATATTCAGCCTGTGGGAGTGTACTTCAGCTTGCAAACATGTATGATGCATCAGGAACTTTTCACCCATTGCTTGCAAGAGAGCTTATTTATCTAGTATGACAGCCTAATGTCGCAAATTTGCTACCTCAGTTTACTAGTGATCCACAATTTTTACTATAGATTCTCAGCTTTTACTTATAAGTGAATCGAAGCGTTGCTCCACAGGCACTCATTGCATCTTGCAAGCAAGCTATTGTGCATTACAAGCTTTGTTGGATTTGTTCGTTGGTAGTACGCCGTCAGCAGACGTCCAAAAGTTGTCCGTTGTTGCAAGCAAGTGGACTACATTAAACATATATTTTTCTTGTAAATGGGTCGTAATGCTGCGCTACGGATCACTCGTGATTTCTTACATGCAAGTTATCATGCGTTGCAAGCTTTGTTAAATCTTCTTGTAGGTTATCAGTAGATATCCATATGTTGTTAGCCATCGCATGTGTGTCGTCGTATGCATACTGCTACGTACATGACAGATTTCCTACAATGGCTTGTAGGTGACCACATTTATCCGTTGTCATTGCTCACAAGCAGTTGTGTAAGCTGGTTGATGTTAAACAAGCTGGCTAATGTTGAACATAGGGAGACTACTGCGTTCACAACTTATTTATTGTCACCATTGCTTGTTAAAATCTTCATGCATTACAAGTTTGTTACCTTTCTTCGTAGACAGCAAGTCGTGTTTATGCGAAGTTGTTATCATACTCGTTGCATGCCGACTGTTGTTCACAAGGAACTGTTGTATTCATTCATGAGTGGATTGACGTTGATTGCAGGAATGTCAATGTATTCATTGCATGTCAAATCCCTCTACTGCTTGCAGGGTTTAATTTGCTTGATTGTATATTAATATTGAATAGTGTGTTGTATTTGTTGTGCACCTTCTACATTCCGTTCATGAACACAACATAACATCCATTGCACTCATCATGCCTCCCATTTGTGTGTTCATTACAAATCTCCCTCCCACAAATAAGTTATTGTATTTGTGCAAGCATTATGTTCAGGTTCACACTCACGTGCGGGTCGTTGTTCTCCTTTGTGTATGTATTGTTCTTTGCATGCAATGAAACTTTTGTTTGCTCATTAATGTTCATTACAAGTTCTTACTTCTACATTTGTATTTTTAATTTGTTATCTAGTGATTTGCATTTTTATGATGAATATTAGGAGCAGTTCCTTGTGATTACAAGTTCAGTTCCCTACAAGTTTAAGTTATGTTCCTTAGGAGTATCCCTAGCCACACTAAGAAAAGCGTGTACAGGACCTACCTGCCTCGCCGCAAGCATCGCACCAGATTTTCTCCCACCACACTATGAAAAGCATGTATAAGTGGTCCCCCGACGTGCTGCTACTATATGTCAGATAATATATATCTCTACGAATCTGATTGATGACTAGCCTTAATCGAAAGTTCTCTCATTATCGGGAGGGGTAATTAACTATAGAGGCTTGCGCCTATAGGAAACCAAAACTCAGATCATAAAGTCCTCGTAAAATGAGGGCGAAATCTCTGGGTAGTGTCTTATCTACAAACCCATCTGCATTCCAAAATTTACCTCGGAACTTATTCCATTAAAACTCCCTCGCCAAATAAAAAGCAATCAGCAGGCGGAGGCCGAAGCCGAAGTTTCAGAGCCCACAGATTTCTTCGTGGCGTTGTATAGATTATGGACGCCTTCTGTCTACTTATACGAAGGTTGCAGATCCGGTGACGTGGTGTTGTAGATTATGGACGCCTTCTATCTGCTTGTACGAAGGTTGCAAATCTGGTGACGTGGTGTAGTCTACAACGCCACGCCACCGGATCCGCAACATTCATGCAAGCGGACAGAAGGCGTTTATAAATATTATTATAATACCTCCGCACGTGCACCATAGTTTGTATACACATAGGTACACTATAGGGGTCAATGTATAATACAACCAGCATGGGCCCCGACGAGCGTGTTATTGGTACACACGTCTAGAGACGCTATGCGGGTTATTAAATTTGAACTCGATCCTCCTAAGCAGGTAAAAAGGAGTCCATAAGGTATAATTATAAAATGCCCCCAACACCGCATGGGCCCTAACAAGTGTGTTGTGCGTACACACGTGACACATAGGGATGATGCGCGGACCAATAAGTAAATTCAAGTTCGAATCCGATCCTTCTATGCGGATCAATATGAGTCGACAGGGTTTGAACTATCAAACAAATATACGGTTACGGAAATCGGTATATTTGTCATAATACATTCATATTAGGCCTTCAAGGCCTATATAACAATTAGAATTCACTAACAAACATATAAAGACTATGAAACTCAATCCTCTATCAACAGCTCGCAGAGTCGACAATGTTCATCCATAAAATGCAAATATTTTCAAATGGAAATGACCCTTTCACCCCGATGATGTCGATGTCGAATGAAAATCTCAACTTGAGGGGTCCATTCAAATAATTTCAAATGCCATCCCAAACATTCAAAAAACCCAAACATCCAAAAATTCAAAAATCCAAAAATATTTAAAATTGAAATCAAACCATCCAACACTTGAAGTAAAAACCCATCCACCCTCCACAACAGCATTGCGAGCACCGAAAATGAGATTTTGAGGGCTTTTTGAGTTCTAAAATAATTATACCTTGACAAGCAAGGCAACGGCGGCAATGTCGGGACAACGACCAGGACAAATTAATGTGCACGAGGATTGAGGCACGCAAATTTCTTTTTCTCATTTCTTTCCTATTTTTTCAGAAACACTTTCTTCTTCTTTTTGAGATTTCTTCTTTCTTCTTTTTATTTTTTCTCCTTTATTTTTATTTTTCTTAAGTAATAATAATAATAATAATAATAATATAGAGAAAGGAGAGTGTAGATTAAAGCCACTGTTAGAGGGAGAAAACAGAGGAAATGATGTAGTTGTTTGACTTTTTGGGAGATGGGTTGGTTTAGCTGTGAAGTGGAGTTAGTTGTAGTATTATGTGAGTATAATTTGGTGGAATGAACAGAGAAGAGGGAGTGGTGTAAGGTTTGCTAGTGAGGAGGGTAAATGGTCTCGGTACAGCAGCTTGTAGACAGAAGAGGGGCTCGGTTTGCGATCGTGTAGGTCTTCGAACAGGAAGGTCAAACCGTTCAATCCGACGGAAGGTGATGACTGTGTTCAGGAAGTTTGAGACGGAAGGAAGATCTCGGTTGGGGCTTGGAGAATTGGCAGGGTGCTTGGTTGACTGGTCATGGTCGGCTGTAAGAGACGGACACGGAAGGCTTGCAGCAGGGAGGAGATCGGGCCGATTGGTCAGGGGAAACGGTTGACCACTTAAGTGATGTGTCACACCTGCCAACTGTCACTTAAGTCACCAAATTTGCCTTGTTCTTGCACGCCTTTAGTGTAGGGGTCAACAGTGGCTTGTTCAGAAATGGCGCCAAATTGCAAGGGATAGGCAGCCGAATTGCAAAGGATTTGAGCAAGATTTGAGGAGAGATTTGGCTAAAAAAACTATAAAATTTATTTAAAAGGCAATGGGAATAGATTAATCCTGCAGGCGATTCTCGCCTCGAAACCTGTGCAAAATTCACATTTTCACTCTAGCAAGCTCCCAAGCGATATTACAGTCATTTTTTTGGTATTATCAATGTTCCGGACACAACAACGAAGTTCGTTTAGCGAACGGACATTATTCGGGCAATGTCACGCAACATCGCACCCGTAATTTGATGATTTCGACCACCTTCTGTTCAATTAAACTGTGAGGGGTCCTCCCTTGACTAAATTCGACGCTCTTATTGCATCGGCACGATCCGTTTGACGATCGGAGGTTGTTTGGATAGTTTAGTGAAACGTCGCGCTTGTCGATGATCGTGCTCGTTGATCGTCACTTTCATCGCCTTTGCTCGTACTGATTTGGCGGATGTGTGGAGGTCAACATGAGGAACTTGGTGTATAATTTCTTCATTGTGCTTATATGAGAGGCTGAATAAATTTTAAACAAACATATACATCACAACATCTAAGTTAAGAAGATTCACTAACTGAAAATCAAAGGAGAAAGGAAAGTAGAAAACCAGAAAATATACAGCAAACCTGGCTGGAAAATAAAGAATTTGGAACAATGACAGGAAACTTTTCAGGATTCATAAGACATGTGGTTGTCAGACCCATTTCTACCACTTGCCCTTCAATTGAACCAGCCTGAAAGGTAAAGAAATCAAAATAACTTGAAGAAACTTAGACAAAATTTTCTAAATCTATAAATCATAAAACCACTTATTTTCTCAAAGAAAGGATGGATAACTGCTCAGAAGCCTTTAATAAAAAAACTGAAATGACATAAAATGGAGATAACTCTATTACAGGAATGATGCAAGTCACACAATAATAGATTTCAAGTTTACCTTTATATAATCCCCAAGTGAGAAGGGCTTTGAAAATTGCAAAGAAAGACCACTAAGTATGTTTCCAAGGATGTCTCTTGCTGCAAAAGCAGTGGCCACTCCTGCAACAAAAGAAAAGTAAATTTTCTTTTGAACCTACCAAATGAATGGTGAGGTATAAAGATGGGTACAGAAAAAAGAAAAGTGCAACAGCCAGAGTTTGACGAATTCCAAATGGAGGGAGGTTCAAGAAATGAAAGATATTGCTACATATAAATGAACAAATTTGCAAAACACAGCATGATTAATATTTCACTGTAGTTCAAGCTAGAAGTTCAACTGTGAGCTTTAAATAATGTGAAAATCTAACTGCAAATTCTTCTGCTCTAGATATGTAGTACATAATAACTTCTTGCCAATTTAAAAGAAACAGTGCATAAATTTCTGCAGCAAGTTCCAATAGATTGTAAATTGAAAAAGTTACTGAATAAGATTGGCATTCAAATTCTAAGCTGAAAAAGTAATCTTAACAGATTTTCATGCTGAAAAACTGAAGATCCATATAAAATTTGCGATAGGGTGGAAAATGAGAGAGAAACAAAAAAACTTGGAGACATCACCTGAGGAGAGAAAAACAGAAGGCACTTTATTGTCTTTGCGTGACTAAAAAGCAAAAAAATCAGGAACCCTTTTCTACGGGCATATTTACTTATGAAATATAAACTCTACTGATATGAATGTGAGGTTGAACCAACCAACAGTGACCTCCGCGATGCAGCAACACCAGAGGAAGTGCAAGAAACCAGTATGGCTCAAGGATTACCAAAAAACTGGGATATATATATATATATGGGTGAATGAATGTGAATAGTAATTTGGTGCTTTTACCTTGATTCTAGTGAATTAATGGTTGGAAAATAATACTTTCAAGCCAAGAAAGAGTTATGATTTTCCATCGTTAGGATATGAAGTATAATAAGCTGAATCATGTGAATGGATAAATCAATGAAAATACACTCAGCTTCTTCTTCCTAAACCTCCTTCCTTCCCTGCATTTTTGGGCTACAGTTAAAATGATAGTAAAATGCTCTTGGAGTTGCCGGCATTCCACGAATTTGTCATTATTTGCTATTATTAGTGCTCTTGTTAAACGTCCTTCCATCCCCAGCATTTCCACTTTCCTTTAGCTTCATCCAAAATGGTAGACAAAAACTGCTCAACCATACATGCAGCTTACTGCCTTAACACCATCGACAATTAAGGCTTTGTTTGGGATGGTTTTATTACTATTTCTTAAAACAGTTTTTTAATACAAAAAAATTAATTTATATACTAAAAAGCTGCTTTAAAAAGCAGTAAGAAAGTCATCCCAAACGAAGCCTAAATCCCCATAATCAATGCAACCTTGTGTAATTAGCTCGGCCTTACATTGAAGTAGGTAAAATAGGAAACAACATCCTCCGCACAAACTCAACCCCTACAAACTCAGCAATAGCCAACCGTCCACTACAATTCCAGTATGAAGGATCTTATCAATGCTAATCTATTCAAATCAATGTGCATCGCTAATCTACCCTTCAAATCAATGTGCTTCGCTATGCAGCGCTTAGCCAGCCACAACCTCGAAACCTAGATACATAAAATAGAGCAATACTTTGGCTTTCACAAACTCTCCGCATTGACAAACTCGCTTTGATGTGATTACATATGGACAGACTAGCAAAATTATGGTACTTAAAAATTAAATGTCTTAAATTTTGGCCTGAATTTCTGACAGCCCTCTGTAATTGATTAGATCTTTTCAAAATATCATGATCTTGAAGGTGAACTTGCAAAACTTCAACAAACCTCTACAGTTAAGTACTTACCAACTTCAATTTGAAAAACTTTCAAATCAAATTACTAGCACGGATTAAGCCTCCTACAAGCTATTTTGAATTGGATTGGAACTTAGAAGTTGCAAAGTGGTTTGAATACGCCGACCCACATGTCTTGATCAAGCTATTGAATTAGTTAAAGCTTATTGGGGATAAGCTCCAGATGGCCATCCTACTCATCTCTCATTGGTCAACCTGCGAACAGCAAAACCATCCTCACTTCTTCCTTTATTACAAAGGCTAGCAAAAACCCTTCCCACCAAACCACTATTTCCATCAGAAAACCATGCCTAATTGAGCTTCATGATCACCATGATAAAAGTCTAAGCTATAGCTGTGGTAAGGAATTCCATCGGAGCCATGTTAACAAAGGATAGATACTTGCCCTGCTTATTTAGAGGATCCATCCTCCGCCAATGATCTCAAAGAAAACAATGCCACAATTGAACAACGCTACAAGCCATCATCAACGCAAGACTTGCATCTTCCATAAATCAGCCTAGATGCTTTGGATGGTGAGCACACCTCACAATATTTTTCGAGTTACAAGTCTTCTCGCAGGCACCATAGCCAAGTCTTAATAGATAGCGCTTTAACACATAATTTTATTCGATGGTTCTTTGAGGAGTTTCTAAAGTTACCACTAACTAACACGCCAACCATCAACATGCTGGTTAAAAATGGTGAGCAATTGGAACGTAATAACAAAAGTTTTGATACCATGATATCACTCAAGAAACACAATGTTGAATTCAAGGCCTGATAAATAACTCAATCATATCGAACATGATTAAAATGATGGTTGGCGAACACCGCATTAGCAAATTCAACTCAAAATGAATCATGCATATTGTCTGTTTCACAAAATGGACCACACCGGCACATCCAGGATATCACAAATAGATCAAAACGACACCCATAATTCTTAGGTCATCGCACCATAAATTTCAAAAAGCAATGACAACATGAATTTAAAATATGTGAGCAAGTGAAATTGCATCGAGTAAATTAATAATTTATTATCATTTTTAAATCAAATAGAATTAAGTTAAAAAAAACTAAAATCATATCCTCCTATACCTTCGTCGAACACCTGAAATCTCGCGTCATACTGTAGCACGCATCTTATCAACATGAAGTTCCATCCTAGCCTAGCCCTCGCTCTCCATTACCCTAGCTAGAAGTGTAAGTGAGCTAAGCCAGCTTATGAGCTGGAGTAGAGCTTCTAGCTTGAGTTTGAGTTTGAAGGGGCTCAGCTTGTCGGCTCACGAGCTCAACTCGTTTAATCAAATATTTATAAAAAAAAAAAAAAACTTGTATTTAAAAAATAAATAAATATGTTGTTTCTAATTTAGCCAAAAAAATACACAACTTTAATTGCAATTAATGCAAACTACACCTTCCAACACCTTTTTTTGGGAAAGATGTCAGTTGGTGTTGTTATTTCAAAAAATAAATCATTAATTATTTTTCTAGAAAACCTGCTCTTCTCTTCTCTCGATAAAAAAACATATTTTTCATCTTCAACGCTCTTATTCTCCAATGGGTGAGCTCGTCAACGAATCCAAAATTCGACTCCCAATCTCCTTCTCCGGGGAGCCAAGCCCACTGTAACTCTTACGACCATACGTTCCAACTTCTCCGGTGAGGCAAGCTTACGAGTGAGACGAGCTCTAGGCGACTTAGGTGAGTCGAGTTCGAGCTCACTATATGAGCTTGAGCGCGAGCTCGAGTTCGAGCTTATCTTTGACTTGACAAGCCAAGCTTGAACTAGCTCAAACTCGAGCTCAACTTGACTTGTTTAAACCCCTAACCCTAGTCGTGCCTCTCTGCCATCCGGCTCCAATGAAAAAAAATACCTCAACGACAAAGAAGTGGAGTGTTGCACAAGAGCTCTTCGAAGAAGACATCAATGAGACCAATTGCGTATGAATGGAAAGTCATGATAGAAGCTCAATAATGAAGGCCTTGATGGGATTGTTGTGTGTAAAAGAAAAGAGGAGTTCGCAAGATGTGCGAGTCATCCTTCTACATCTCTTACTTCATAAAACAATTGACGATAATAGAAGGAAGTTTCAAGGGGAGCTTGTTGGAGAATGCAATGACGAGACATCTACAACACCTGCAATGTGTGAAGAAGATAGAGTTCAAGAGTTTGAAGAATTTAAGTTAGATCCTTCTTGGGCACTAACCTCAACCTAGAAGGCTTCTTTTGTTGGCTTTGTCCGCTAGGGTCACCAATGACATGTCATGTCACAACTCCCCTTCTCGTTCTTCTCCACTCTAGCTCCTACCCAAATTTGTTAACCCTATGGCAACACACCACCAAGGAACTAAGAAGCTATGAAGGGAGCTCATTGTTGAAGGCATCAATAGTAATTACAACCCATGAAGAGGAAGGAAGATAAGTTCATAAGGATTGCAATTTTCGTCGAAATTAAAAATAGGGAAAAACGAGAATTAAGATTCTAAAGAATTTAAAGTTGCAATCTGTTGTTATTTAACAAAATTTAATCCTCTTTAGACCTTGCTCTAATCTTATTGCCAAACTTCCTCTCTCTCTTTATATAAAGTGAGAAGATAGTGAGCAACAAAAAAGAGAGAGAGTTTGTGGATTTTTCCTCACAATAAGTTCTTTGTCATTATCATACTCGTTGACAACACCTAGCACATACGTATAAGATGCAACCTCAAAACTCTTAAAATCTTGATTGCCACGAATTTGATGAAATGAGCAAAATTTGTGCACAATTTTCTTAGAACAATGAGAAAACTCATAGGCGGCACTTGCAATGCAACGGATAAGATGCAATAACCAACAAAAATTAAATAAATTAGGATGAAAATTTGAACTATAGCACTGCAGCGCTATGTCGGCAAACACAGCGGCGCTTTCTTCTCTATTCTACAGTAACCTGGTATTTTGCATGTAGCATTGTGGTGCTATGGTATGTAGCATCACAACGCCAAACACTAAATGGTATATATATATATATATATACTCGCATGGCCATGCCTCCTTCCAATTTGGGTTGGCAAAATCGAGAGGGAAAATCCATGACAATTTTGGATTTCAATTTTCAAATTTGAAATCTTTCCTATTTGGGTTTGATCCATATTTGGAAGGTTTTAACTCTCCAATTCAAAATTCAAATTTGAATTGCAAGGAGATGAGTCATTAATCCCTCCAAATTAAATTAGACCCATCCAACCTCAACCGTCCCACATGACATTCATGCTTTCCT